ACTGTAATTAATAGTCCGTTTGAGCGTCAGGTTTACGAGAATCGGTCCAGTTGTGTGGCAGCGCAGCTCCACCATCACGCTTGCGAAACCGGCCCAGCGAGGCTGCAGTGCTGCAAAGCATGCAGCGAACTGCGCGACACACAGATTGCACCCCGCTGATTGAATCACACAGACTGCACCACACAGATTGCAGCACGCGAGTTGCAATTCATTGTTTGGGGTCCATGCTGGAAATATGTGGAACAGAAGTCGGAGGGTGGACAGATGAATGCTCCCATGTTTCCTCTCTCCCCTGTTTTCCCCAATGCCGTCTCCCCTTCTCCCTACACTTTCGCCTTGCCTGCCGTATTTACCTGCGTGCTTCCGAGATGTCCCTTGTTTCTACTTCCCTTCCTTCAGCTCCGCCTCTCCTCCCCGTCCGTCGCCTCACTGGTTTTCGTCGTCACTGTCCTCTACCTCTTGTTCCGTCCTCCTCACCTGCTGCTGCTGCCGGCCCGTACAGTGTCAGATTTGCCGCGCACCGTCTTTTCGTAGCGACTGGGATTGTGCTCGTGCGACCGTGGCCAATGGGAGATGTCTGAGAGGCACGAGTCTCCTGATGTGCTTCTGTGGGGGGGTGGTCGTGCGCTGTTCGCTGGAGCACTCAGGGCTGCTCCGCGGGACGCGTGGACCCTGCAGAGGGGGTGTTTGGGGGGCGCTGTGTGCTCGCCTCGAGGCGTGCTCGGAGGTGTACAGTGCCGTTTTATTGCATGCTCCGCGTGCGGATCATGTATTAAAAATGCAGGGATTTAGTATTAAAAACAACGTTGAGTTCATGCATAAATTTATTCATAAATTAATCATGGATTAAAAAATCCTACATCAAAAAAAAATCCGATGTATTGAAAATTGCTCTGTAGGGTGAAAGCGTGCGGGCTCACCTTCAGATGTCTTGTGGCAACGTGTGGGCGACGCAAAAAAACGGGGTCGTCTTCGCCGACATTGGCGCGCAAGCTGCCCGCGTGAGGTCGCGCGTAAGCGCCCTCGTCTCCATCATGGCGTGCCGCGCTGGCGGCCCGCGCAAGTCCCCGCGTAAGGTCGCTGTGCCATCTCGCGCAAGACCCGTTTTCGATCGTCGCTCTCGTGGGTTTCCAGGGCGCTTTTGCGGGGCGCAGGCTCCGCGGCAAGCTCGTCCAGACGGCTCCAATCTGGCGACGACTCCTAGCGCTCTCCCCGCGCGTGCCGCCCTCGTGGCGCGGCCCCGTCCCCTACTTTTCCAGGAGCGTCCAGGCGCTGGCTGGTCGCCGAAGCCGTTGGTCGGGGGGTCGGGGGCAACGATTGGGGGGGGATAGGCGTAGGGGAGGATGCATCGACCCCCAATCGCCCACTGATTGCCGATAGGGGCCCAATAGCCCCAACCCGGCCAGGAGCGTGGGGTGTCACAATCGGGGGCCTACAGTCAATCCGCATAGTAAGGATGGGCAACCTTCCCAGGGGTACCCTTGCATCCTTGCCTCCTCGATCCATCCTTGGCCACTTTCGTTGGCCGCGCCATGCTCGAAAAGCTTCACAATGGGCGTCCAAAGGCCTTGCATCCTTATCTCGCATCCTTACTATACTGGTTGACTGTATCGCCGATCTATCGACGATGTATCGCCGATTCCAGGTCTATGCATCCCCATCTATGCCAGTCCCCCCTGATCGTTGCTCCTCAGGGGGGCTGAACTGCGCGGGTCGCCCCCTGGGCGATCTTCTGGCCGAGAGAAGTACAGCAAGCAAACGTTTCGTGTCCGACGTTTTCCGTTCTGCCCGTTTTCATTTGGGGCGTTTCTTGTTTCGGTCGTTTCCAGTTTCGGTTCGTTTCGTTTCCCGTTTCCCGCTTCGTTTCCTGTTTCCACCGAAAAATCGCCATGAACATAAATTGTTGGCGCTCCGCGCGGATTTCTCGGATCCGCGCTGGGCCCGGCCTCGGCGGCGCCTCCGGCGCCGCCCCTGGCGCGCTCCCCGCACCAGGGAGGGGAGTCCGGCGCAGATCCAGGACAAGGAATCCGCGCGGAGCGCCAAAAGTTTATGCTCATGGTGTCTTTCCGTCGGTGGGTGTCCAGGAGGAGGAGGCGGAGGCGGAGGGAGGAGGAGGAGGAGGAGGAGGAGGAGGAGGAGGAGGAGGAGGAGGAGGAGGAGGAGGAGGGAGGAGGAGGAGGAGGAGGAGGGAGGAGGAGGAGGAGGAGGAGGAGGAGGAGGAGCAGGAGGAGGAGCAGGAGGAGGAGCAGGGGGGGGGGGGCGTCTTTCTACTCTGTCCGTGGGCGGCCTCCTGCCCGTGCCTCTCGGGGGATGCAGGGCGTTCCTCGGACGGGGCAGGCGCAGCGGGCGCACTCGGAGACCGCATGTACCTCCGGAGCCTCGGAGGCCGCATTCGGCCACTTCTTGGGCGCCGTCCCTCCGCGTGGGATAGGGGGGGGCCACCTGCGAACCTGACCCTTACCCCCCACGAGTTCTGAGGGGGAGGCTGGGGTTCAGTGGCCCCCCTATAGGAGCTGTCCACGGGGCCGTCGCGGGGCTTTCTCTTGCGGCCCTGCAGAGCGCGCGGCCGCGGGTCGGGGCGATGTCGTGCAGGCCTTTTCACGCAGCGTCGAAGGTGGACCGGGAAGACGAAGAAGCAGCCATGCGCCAAACGCGCGCGGGCGAAGGAAGAAGGGCGACACGCCAAATGCGTGCAGCAGCAGACGATTATATGCCAAACGCGTATCCAAAGGGCCTGGATGCGCCAAGTGCGCGCCGGGAGCGCGCAAGGAGGGGGAAGGGCAGACGATTATTCCAGATTTCGTAATAAAGGGAGGGGGGTCTCATTTCGGGGGGGGGGTCTCTTCCAGGCTATCTTGGAGGGCCTGGGGACGATGTTTTGGAGGGTTCTCCCACGCTGGAGCTCTGAAATGGCTTGTCTTGGAGGGTCCAGACCCCCTCCCTTTTATTACGAAATCTGGAGTACACGCCAAAGGCGTGCCCAAGGAAGGAAGGTGGACCAGGAAGGGACATCAAAACGAAAGCCCGCCTGTGCCAGTGAAAGTGGACAAAGAAGGGACGTCGAAGTGGAAAGCAGCCTTTGTCGGCGTTGCTTGCTGCGTGCCTCGACGCCTTCATGAGGCCACTCGAAGGGCCTCTTCGGGGCCTTTGGGGGGGCTCTCGGGGTCTTTTTGGGGCTCCTTCGGGGTTTCTCGGGGACGTCGCGGGGCGTCCTGAGGCCTCGCGGGGATCTTTTGCAGTTCCTGTAGCCTCTCGCAGGCGCCTGGGAAGGCTTATCGTTGCCCTCTCGCGCGTTTCGAAGCCCCACTTCGTCCGTTTGGGGAGCAACTGGGCCCGTTTTGTCGCCAATTTGGCGTCGTCGTCGCGTCCTGCGACGGTTTCTGCGAGCCACCGTGGGAAATCAGGGAAAGGCGATGGGGCGGGTAGGCGCCAGAGAAGAGGTAGGTGCCCATTGTCTAGTGGGAAGGCCACAAGCACGGGGACTTGCATCCAAAAATGAGTGCGCGGCGGCTGGATGCGTCGGGGGACCCGAACTGCTGCTTCGCAACGACCGTAACGGAAAACCAAGGGCCCGACGCAGGCCAACGCGTTGCAAGCGCGTGGCGGATGTGGGGCGCTCCAGAGGGCTTCGTTTTCGAGGATCGAAGGAGGAGGCATCCGCGGAAGGCGGCAGAAGCTGGCGGAAATCAAATGAGGGCAACTCTACTGATAAAATCCGGCGAAAGGCCCGCGGAAATTGGCGGAAGTTGGAATCTGCCCTCCAAGAGAGATCGACAGTTGTTGGCCCGGAGGTTCTGGAGCGAACCAAGTGCACGCCTAGTTGGGAAACGAAGTGGGTGGCCAAAAAAATCGGCCTTGATCGCCCAATCTGAGCACCACCTCATCCTGAGGTCTCCCAGGCCTCCCCGAAGCCCGAAGAGGGCGCGAAGAAGCACCGTTGGGCCACAACGGGCGCCCAAAGGACAGCTCGAAGCAGCGCGAACGCATCGAAGACATGTCAAGACGCCCAAAACTTGTCCTAAGATGTGCCCAGGAGGCCGAAGAGGACCCCTGAGAGGCCCCCAACAGGCATCCTCAAGTACTTGTACGATACTTGTTCGATCGTCATGATGACGCCCAGGTCAGCCCAAGAGGCCCCCAGGACGGCCCAAAGAACTCCCTAAGAGACTCCCGAAAAAGGCCCACGCTGGCCCAAGACTGGCCCAAAAGGGCCCGAAGAGGGCTTCCAGGAAGATTGAGAAACAGCTCCAGAAGACCCCGAAACGGCCCAACATGCCCCCAGAACGGCCCTAAAGCCGACCACAAGAGGCCCCCAAGATGGCCAAGAGGGACCCTAGACCAAGATGGGCTTCGAGTGCCCTCCTGGGAATCCCAGAACGGTCCAAGGATGTCCCTGGATGGCCCGAAAGTGTCACAAGATATCCAACGAGGGCACCCTGAGTTCCCCAAAGAAGCCCCAAGGGACTTAGCAGTTTGCAAGACGGCCGAAAGTGGGCCAGCTGGGAATCTTCTTGCAAATGTTCAAGTGTCCCCGCGTGAGGGCTCAAGAAGGCCTCTTGGCTCCTCCTCCGTCCCTCCTTACTCCTCCCTCCTTCTCCTTCTTCTCCTCCCCCTTCTCCTCGTCATCATATTCATCTTCTTCATCATCCTCAACATCATCAACATCACCATCACCATCACCATCACAGTCATCATCATCAGCATCATCATCAGCATCATCATCATCACACTACTCATCATCGTCATCACCAGTCTCAGCATCGTCATCATCATCATCATCAGCATCATCATCGTCATCATCATCGGCATCATCTCCCCGTCCTCTTCGCATCTTCATCCCACCTCCCCGCTTCCGCTTCCTCTGTTCCAACTACCGCCGCCCACCCTCTGGCCCATGGCTGACTCATCTCTCATCCCTCCTCCGACCTGTCTCCTCGCTTTCCTACCCTCCCCACTACCCCTCTTCGTTCCTCTCTCCTCCCCCCCTCCCTTCTTGGAAAGGCCTCACGGGCGGCTCCGCCGGCACCGAAGGGCGAGGAGAGCGCGATTGCAGGCCGATAAGTTTCCAGGAACAGCTTGATTCACCTTTTCTGAAATGAGAATAGAGTCTACCCCCCCTCTGCTTTAGCGGTACAATTTTGTGTGTTGCAATTGACATACGATTCTGCCCCATCGTCCATCCAAAATATGAACTCATACCATCCCAGCCGTGCCTGGTTCGACCCCCACCCCGCCACCCTCTGCAAAAAATACTATGCGCGCGCAGTCGTTCATCCAAAATTATCCGTTGTCACGAATCCCTTGCAAGAAATAAGACGAAGTGCACACGCGAGCGTGGTCGCGCACGCATGCCGAAATCCTAAAAAATGGCGGTCTCGGAATGATATCAAAATCGAGTGTCCAAAACATAGAAAACATTAAAATAAAAGCGTGCGCGCGCTCTTGCGAATTCTTAAAAGAACCATAAGTGTTTCAACATGTTCATAACATGCCATCAAGCGGGCTTCGCGCGCGCGAATGTTGAAATCGCTCGAACGCCCTTGCACGCGTGCCGTCGCGAGAGTCCGTTCCCCAAAAACTGAGACTAAGTGTGCATGCGCGCGTCGTCGCGCGCGCATGCCAAAAGACGTCAAAAACTTTCGGTGTCGTAACGGTTTCAAAACTGAATGCCAAAACAAACATCGAAAAAAACACCTGGTTTCGCAACATACGTTTTCAAAAAAACTTGCGCGCGCTCTTGCGCATCATTAACAAAACCATTGGTTGTTCAACCGTTTCACTGAATCCTGTCAGGCGGGCCACTTGGCGCCGCATGCCGACATGACTCGCACGCCCTTGCGCGCGTGCTGGGGGGGGCACGATCCGTGTCACGTAAAACAATGCGGGCCACTCGCACGTCGGCCGCGCGCGCATGTCGCACTCTTTCCAAAACTTCCATCACCGACGCGAGGACGCCGTCATCGTCGCCGGCGTGATCAGCATCGGCGCCCGCACTGGCCGCGCCTTCGTCGGTGCGAACATCGTCACCAGCATCGCTGCGACCATCATCGTGTCTACCGTTGTCGGCGTTGCCATGATACCGCGCCCGCCCAAGTCGCCGACTCGCAGTGAAGTGCCCGCTGGGATGCGCCCAGCGGTCAGCGCCACCGCGGCCGCATCGGCGGCGCCAAAGTAGCTGGCCGCTGCGCGCGCGTGCTAGGGTTGGCGCGGCCTCAGAGATGCACCAGCCAACGCCAAGCATGCATCGCAATCGCCATCACATGGGTTTTGCAAACACAGTTGCGGGTGGGTGAGTGGGATGTTTGCAAGAGCGTGGGATGTGTCAGCTCGTTTGGTAAAATCAAGGAGCACCCCTAGGCTGGAGCAGAGACAGAAAAACGCGCCACCTCTATATAATGGCACGCGGCCCATTCTGCCACCGTGCATGGGTGGTGGACCAAATAACTCTTGAACGCCTAAGGGTCTCTCTGGGTGCCTCTCGGTGGTCTCTCGGAGGGCTTTTGGGGGCATCTTGGAAACCTCTTGGGGGCATCTTGGGGCCCCCTGGGGGGCTTCCCGGGGGCCTCCTGGGGGCCTCCTGGGGGCCCTGGGGGGGCTTCTGGGGGGCCGAGCCTCTGGGGGGGGTTGGGGGAGGTGCTGGCGGTCATTGGGTCATCTCGGGGCGGAGGGCTCGAAGTGTTAGTTCGCGCTCCCCCTCTCAGGGTTCTCTCGCGCCGTGCTGGGGGGCAGCAGCAGAAGCAATTGCAAGAACGCCAGAGTATGAGGACGAAGAAGGCGAGGAAAAGGACGAGGAGGAGAAAAGGAGGAGCAACAGGAGTGGCTCTGTCTGGCCGAGGAGCCTTCTGATGGAGGTCAAGTGGCAGTCCTACAGCCCGACCATTCGGGCCTTCCCCCTCTTCGAGATCTTCACGACGATTCAGATCAGCGTGCTCTACAGGACCCAGCCCGCGGCACACCTCCAACTCGCGCGCGTCCTGGGCCCCGAGGAGAGAGGGGGAGGGGGACGAGGGGTGGGACGACGGCGCCAGACGGCGTCAAGCCGAAGTTCGCCGAAGAACGAGAAGCGGAATGGGCGCAGCAGCCTTTCCCCGCCGCCCGCCAGATCGGTAGCGCCCCTAGCTGCTCTGACGCTGTGGGGGGCAGTGGGATGTAAGGAGGAGGAGGAGGAGGAGGAGGAGGAGGAGGAAGAGGAGGAAGAGGAGGAGAGGATGAGGAACAGCTGAGGAGGAGGAGGAGGAGGAGGAGGGAGGAGGAAGAGGAGGAGGAGGAGGAGGAGCAGCAGCAGAAGAAGCAGAAGCATCAGGTGATGGGAGGAAGGGACGGCGACGACGGGCAGGAGGAAGCAGGAAGGAGGAAGTAGGGGGCAGAAGGAGCAGAGGGAAGGGGATGGTCGGAGAAAGGGGAGCAGGGAGAAAGGATGGAGGACGGAGCAGGACGGGGCAGGGAGGGATGAGGTGGTGAAGGAGGAGGAGGAGGAGGAGGAGGAGGAGGAGGAAGAGGAGGACCATCAGCAGTAGCAGGAGGATCAAAAGGACGAGGACGCCGAGGAGAAGGAGGTGGAAGAGGAGGATGCGGAGGAGGAGCGGTAGCATCTCAAGAGGAGGAGGCGGAGGAGAATGCGGAGGAGGAGCGGAGGAGGAGCGGAGAGGAGCGGAGGAAGAGGAGGATGCGGAGATCGCTGTTGCGATGTGGAAACATATTGTGCCCTCTCCTCGTCCCCCTCTCTTCTCTTCCTCACCATGCCTTCCTCTCTCCCCCTCCTATCCATGTTCATTATCGCCTCCCTCCTCCCTGTCACAGATTCCTCGGCCCCCTCTTCTTCCGCCTCCCTCTGACACTCCACGGAATGGGCGTTTCGCCCGAGACGTCTTCGGCGCTTATGATCTTGAAGCTTGAACTTCGCAACATAGTCATACATGAAGGGCGGGCCGTTTTCAAAATGTGGCCCTCGCCTCAGTGCCACGCACATTCGTTTCGAAAGTTTGCAACAGTTTCACGGATGGAGAGCGGGTAGTTTTCAAAGTGGAGCTCTTGCTTTAGCGCCACGCACATTCGTTTCAAAAGTTCGCACCAGCTTCAAGGATGGAGGGCGGCTCTTTTTCAAAATATGGCTCTGGCTTTGGCGCCATTCACATTCGTTGTGGAACTGTGCAACAGCTTCAAGGACTGATTCGCGGCGTTAAAGTTCCAGGAATGGCGTTTCGGTGCGACTGACGATTCTCAGACGGCTTTCTTCCAATGGGGCATTTTCCGCAACGAAAACAAGTGGCACGTTCGCCTTGGCTCTTGCGCGAGGGAAGGCTAGGGCCCGGCGAGACGGGGTGAGGGGAGGGGTTCTTGGGGTCATCCTGGCGTTCTCCCGCCGAGGCCATCATGACCAACATGCGACGGCAGGGGCAGAGGGGGCCTTGGGACGACGAGCGAACGAACGAACGACGACGAAACAGGTGGCACGCTCTTGCACGAGAGAGGGCAAAGGGCCAGGCGAGGCCGGGTGAGGAGGGGGGCTCTTGGGGCCATCTCTTGGGACCATCATGACCACCATGGGGAGGCAGGGACAGGACGGCCCAGAAGGGGGGGGAGCGACGAGCGAATCAACGACGACGACAATAAAGGCTCCGAGCTCTACGACACAGCTGTTGTGGGGGCAGGCCACGAACGAACGACGAAAATGAAGGGGTCCAGGGCCAGGGGGAGCAAGGGGGGGCCAGGGGTAGGCCAGGGCTCCGGGTCCAGGGGGGCGATGGGGCTGGGAGGCCATGGCCAGGGGGAGCGAGGGGGGCCAGGGGCAGTCCACCGCTCCGGGTCGGGGGAGCGAGGGGGCTGGGGAGGGGGCAGTGGGCGGGGGGGGCACGAAGCTCCAGGGCTAGGAGGAGGGCGAGGGCCAGGGGTAGGCCAGGGGAGGTACGGGGGGCGGCCTGGGAGAGCTGCCCTGGGAGGCGAGGGGGATTCCAGAAGGGGCGGCTCCGAGCCCAGGGACGCCAGGCCAGGGGGGGGGGGGCCATCAGGGGGAGGTCAGGGGAGGAGGACGAACGACGACGAACTACGAAAATGAAAGGCTCCGCGGCCCGAGGGGGGCTGCCCTGGGAGGCTAAAGGGGTGCAAGATGGGGCGGCGCTGGGGACGCCAGGGAGAGGCCGAGGCCATGCAAGAGGGAAGTCAGGGGGGGGCCAGTAGGAGAGGAATGACGACGAACGACGAAAATGAAGAGTTCTGCTACCCTGGGAAACTGGGGCTGGGGGCGGCCCAGGGGGACGGCGCTGGGAGGCGAGTGGGATGACAGACGGGGCTGCGCAGAGCCCTGGGAAGCCAGGCTGGGAGGAGGAGGAGGAGGAGGAGGAGGAGGAGGAGGAGGAGGAGGAGGAGGAGGAGGAGGAGGAGGAGGGGGAGGAGGAGGAGGAGAGGAGAAGGAGGAGGAGGAGGAGGAGAGGAGGAGGAGGTGGAGGGGGCGGCGCACCGAGGCCATGCCAGGGGGGGAAAGCCTGGGGCAGGGCGAGGCGAGGAGGCGAAAGTCAAGAGGTCTCCTGTAGGGACCTTTAAAATCGGAGGGAGGGCGGTTGGCAACATCGCTGATGCGTCTTAGGCTTACACTGGTGGTCCTCCTCCTCCTCCTCCTCCTCCTCCTCCTCCTCCTCCTCCTCCTCCTCCTCCTCTTCCTCTTCCTCTTCCTCTTCCTCTTCCTCTTCCTCATCACCATCATCCTCATCAGCAGCATCATCATCGTCACCATCATCATCTGCATCATCATAAGCATCATCAGGTTCTTTCCATTCCCTCTCCTTATAAATAATTTCGCCCTGTCGCACCCCGAGGCAAGTTTTTTGGGTGGGCCGGGCGTTTCGCCTGAGACTTCCTCACCACTCATGACTCTGAAGCTTGAACATTGGCAACCGCTTCACAGACGGAGGGCAGGTGGTGTTCAATATGTGGTTCTCGCCTCAGCGCCGCGCACATTCTTTCTAAAAATGTGCAAGAGCTTCACGGATTGAGGGCGAGTCGTTTTCAAAATGTGGTTCTCGCCTTAGCGCCGCGCACATTCGTTTTCAACATGTGCAAGAGCTTCACGGATTGATGGCGGCTCTTTTTCAAAACGTGGTTCTCGCCTTGGCGCCGCGCACATTCGTTTTCAAAAATTGCATTCAAAAACACGGATTGAGGGCGGATCCTTTTCAACATGTGGCTCTCGCCTTGGCACCGCGCACACTCTTGAAAATTCGCAAGCGTTTCACGGATTCCCATGATCAACGTTCTAGAAATTGCATGTTGGAAGGATTCAGGCTTCTGGGAGTGCACAAGTTATGTTGAATCGCGGTGTTCGAGTCCCAGGACAGGCGTTCTGGCACGATCCAGGATCTTCAGGACGGAATAGTCAGGTTGATCCGTGGCGTTGGAATTCCGAGAACAATGTTTTGGCATGCTGCAGGGTCTTCAACCAGTTGTCTTCCAACGAGGCAGTTCCCTCAGTAAAAAATTGATTGTTGTAGGGGCCTATGAAGAGGGAGCGTGGAGGGAGGGTTTATTCCAACATCGTTGATGCATATTGGGTTTGCACTGGTCCTCCTCCTCCTCCTCCTCCTCCTCCTCCTCCCCCTCGCTCCCTCGCTGCTTCCCGCCGCCACCCCCTTGGGCGCAGGCTCTGCCTCGACGGCATCACGGAGCTGTCCTGCAGGCGGCATATTTCCCCCGTTTCCCCCGGGGCGTGGGCACCCTGCCGCTGCTCACTGGAGTGCTGGCTGAGCCCGCTGCCGACCCCGCTCCGACGAGGCGAGGGGTCTGCCGTCATCGTTGCCGCGTGCCCGTCTTCTCGTAGCGATCGGGAATGTGCTCGTGTGCCCGTGGCCCACAGGAGAGGTCTGGGAGGCACTCGATGGCTCTGGGTGCACCCCATGGGACCAGACTGGGTCGTGGGCCGCGCAGGAGAGTTCGGCCGACTGCAGTCCTCGCATACCCTCCAGCAGTCGAGTCTGCACGCGCGCGCACAGCCCTGCGCCTACGTGTACACACGTGCTCACACTTCTGCTCGCTCCGACCCGGCGAGCGCGGGTCGGTCGTGCAGCTCGGGGACGCCAGCGGCGACTTTGCACGGCGAGAGGCGGGCACAAGAGAGGCTGGGCGGCCGCGGGGGGGAGGGAGCACGCGGAGGGGCGAACACGGACCGTGGAGGCCGAAGAGACATGCGCGCACACACGGATGCACTGGGAAACGTGCGCATACACGCGCACGTGGGGGATCACGCGGACCGGCACACGCACACACACACACAGACACACACACACACACACAGACACACACACACACACATGCATGCACAGATACACACGCACATGCACATGCACACGCACACGCACACACGCACACACGCACACACACACACACACACGCACACACGCACGTGCGTCTACAATATCACGCATGCACAGATGGGCGCGTGCTCATAATGGCACACGCGCTCTACACCGAGGAGCCCCACTGGGAGCGCCCAGGCAGCAGCTCGCGCTACAGGACGGGTGCGTCAGCTGGGACGGCGGGCGCGCAGGGAAAGATGATAGACTCGTTCGCAGGGTTCCCTTGTGGCAGGTCTCTCCATCAGGAGTCGACTCAGGGACGAACGAGGGGTGCGGCGGAGGGCTGCTGCAGGCAACACGCTCCAGTGCTGCTGCGGCGAGCGCCGACGTGCAGCAAGGAGCGATGATCGGTTCTTTCGCGGGACGCTCCTGCTGCAGGTTCCTGGATCAGGGATCGATCGACCTGGCTCAGCTTGTTCGCATCAGATGTTAGCTCTCTTCTTCTCGTGGGCGGAAACGAGTATCCGTGATTACCCGCGGCCTCCCCTGGGCCAGTCCCTGGGCCCGCGACCTCCGCGGGTGCGGGACACTTGTGTCGCGGAGGCCCCGCGCGGAACGCGTCCGTCCGACCGCGTATTTGCAAGGTCGCGCCCCAGAATCGCAGAAGCAAGAACGCCATAAGCATGAATTTGTGGCGCTCCGCGCGGATTTCTTGGGTCCGCCCTGGGCCCCCCGCCCGTGGCGCGCTCCGCGCGCCAGGGAGGGGGGCCCAGCGCAGATCTGGGAAATCCGCGAGGAGCAGCAAAAGTTTATTTGTATGTAGTTGTTGTTTTATTCTTCTTCTGCAAAATCCAGGCCGCGAGGGCGCGGATGCGCATACAGTCGGGGCCCTGAAGAAGGAACCCTTTTCGTTGGGGAGGGGCTCCGTGTTCCTTAATTGTTTCGCAGCTTGCCTTGGATGTTCCTTAGGTTTTCGATGCGAGATCGAAGTTCAACTTATGGAAAATAGGGGCCTCGTTCCTTATTTAGGGTTCCTTAGGTCAACGCCTCGATCGTAGATTCGCCGCTCGTGATCTTTCTCCTCGCCCTGCGTCTGGCCGAGCGGCGAGACAGCGGCCCCCCAGCTGGGGCGACGAGCTCTTCCACGCGGGGAGCCAGGCGGAGCGGGTGCTGTTCGTGAAGCACGGCCAGCTGCACTACTCGAGGGGCAACACGGACGGGGGGGGGGGAGTAAAACGACGCGAAGATCGGGACAAAATCGGATCGGGATCACTCGAAATCTCTGAGAATCGGCGGGTTTGGAGGATGTACTGGGCGCCGCGGCCGCTCCAGAGCGTTCCGGAACGCTCCGAGAGCGCTCCGGAACGCTCTGGAGCGATTTATCCCGATCCTAGCCCTGTTTTGGACGAAGGATTGCACGACGGGTTTTTTGCAATCCTTCGACGAAGGGTTTTTTTGCAATCCTTCGTGGGAGCAGGAGGAGCGAGGCCCGTCGGAGGAAGCGGTCGGAGCCGGCGGGGGGCCCGAGGTGGCCCCAGCCCTGGTTCCCAGCCAGCAGGAAGGGGGGGGGGCGGGGGTTGAGGCTCTGGGCTCGAGGAGATGCTTTGCCTTTCTCGCCATTCGAGGAAAGAGAACCCTAGAGGCTCCGAGGGTGGAAAACAAAAAAAGATGATTTGCCTTTCTCGGTCTCCCGGGACCGTTTTCGGGCCCCAAAGGACCCTCGAGAGCGGATCCGAGGTGCAGAAGTGCACCAGATGGACCCCAGGAGGAGTCCAGAGACCGATATGGAGCGGAGCAGCTTGCTGCCCCCCCTCTGGGCAGCTTGCTTCTCGGTGCCCATCCAGTTCAGACCCCCCGGCCGCCTCCGCGATGGAGCAGGAGGAGTGAGGCTCGTCGGAGGAAGAGGAGAGAGGATTGACGGGTTGCGCGAGGCAGCCCGTTGTGTGCACCACGGGTGGGGCAGGTGGGGCAGAATTTCAGGTCGGCGTCGAGCGAGGGGGCGAAGTGAGAAGGAGAAGGCCCCTTGGCATCGCTCGGGCGTGTGCATTTTTTGTTGCGAGGGCCATCGAGGATCATCCTGGATCATCTGGCAGAAAACGTACGCGCGAAACCAAAAAATGCACGGGGAATGGACGTCGGAGCGATGGCAAGACCCTCTCAGAAGGCAGCTGGACTTCTCAGAAGCCCTCCGGCCTTCTGAGAAATGTCATGTGCCTTCGGGGAACGCTTAGGAGATTTTTGAGAAAACCGGGGGACTTCCGAGCCTTTGAGAAGGCCCGCCCCTTCTCACTTCCCCCACTTCACCGGGTCTCGAGACACTTGGGCTCGTTGGCCCCCAAGGTCTCTCGTTCCTTGCAGGCCCCCTCCCGGGCACCGGCGCCGAGCTGCGCGGAGAGCCCCGCTCCCGGGAGCAGGAGAAAGAGGGCGGATGATGAGGAGGGGGGCGCGAAAGGAGGGAAGGCGGAATAGGGAGAAGGGGGAAAAAAAAAGTAGAGAGCAGCGGGGGGGAGGAGGAAGAGCAGGAGGAGGAGGAGGAGGACAAGTATAAACCCAAGAGTCATCAACGATGTTGGAATGAACCCTCCCTCCAAGCTCCCTCTTCATAGGCCCCCACAACGGTTTATTTCCATTGAGGGAACTGCCTCGTTGGAAGACGACCGTTTGAAGACCTTGAATCATGTCGGAATATTGTTCTCGGGATTCCAACGCTACTGATCAATCTGACTGTTGTGTCTTGACGATCCGGAATCGTGCCAGAACGCCATTTTCGGGACTTCAACACCCCGAATCAACAGAACTGCTGCACCCGCATAATCCTGAACCCTTCCAAAACACCATTTCTTGTACGCTGATCATTGGAATCAGTGAATATCTTGCAAATGTTTAAATGTTCGCGGCGCTAGAGCGAGAGCCACAGGTTGAAAGGAACCGCCCTCAATCCGTGAAACTCTTGCAATTTTTGAAAACGAATGTGCGCGGCGCTAAGGCGAGAGCCACATTTTGAAAACGGCCCTCCCTCAATCCGTGAAGGTCTTGCGAATTCTTAAAAAGAATGTACGTGGCGCTTGGGCGAGAGCCACATTTTGAAAACAACCCGCCCTCAATCCGTGAAGCTCTTACAAACTCTTAAAAAGAATGTGCGCGGCGCTATGGCGAGAACCACATTTTGAAAACGACCCGCCCTCAATCCGTGAAACTCTGGCACATTTCGAAAACGAATGTGCGCGGCGCTAAGGCGAGAGCCATATTTTGAAGCGACCCGCCTTCAATCCGTAAAATGCTTGCGAATCCTTACAAAGAACGTGCGCGGCGCTAAGGCGAAAACCACATGTCGAAAACCATTCGCCCTCCATGTGTGAAACTGTTGCCGCTTTGTGAGCTTCAGGATCATACATGGTGAGGAAGTCTCAGGCGAAACGCCTGGCCCGCCCTAGAAACAAGCTTCGGGGTGCGACAGGGAGAAGTTATTTATAAGGAAAAGGAAAGGAGGAGGAGGAGGAGGAGGAGAAGGAGGAGGAGGAGGTGGAGGAGGAGAAGGAAGAGGAGGAAGAGGAGGAGGAAGAGGAGGAGGAGGAGCAGGAGCAGGAGCAGGAGCAGGAGCAGGAGCAGGAGCAGGAGCGGAAACAGGAGCAGGAGGACTATGCAGGACTATGCGGAGAAGACGTCCACAGCTCTGTGAGCACAATGGGGCCTTGAGGCTTGCGGAGCCCCTCTGCTCGAGGGGAGGCCCTGCGAAGAAAAACTCAGCCAAAAATGGAAGGCCCCGCGCCGCAGGGACCCCCAGCAGGCTCCAGCAGCCCCCCTGGTAAGGCAGCCAAGGCCAAAAGACCGCAGGGCATGACGTGGCCGCATCGGAAGCGCCGTGCGACCGCACTGCCCTGGGGGCAAGGGGCCCCATGCGCCAGCAGTCGGGCCCCCGCTTCCTGCACCTCGCCGCGCCCTCGGATCAGGCGACGGGTGCCGCCGCACCGCGGTCCAGTGGACACCGCGGGCACGCGTCGCAGGCCCGAGGGAACCCGCGCAGGAGACCGACTTCTTGGGCCTGATCTCCAGCCCGCCCCCCGAGGGGACCCCAGGAGGAGGAGGGGCACCAAGTGGGGCGAGCCCAGGGACCCCGAGCCAGGAAGGCTCGACCACGGGGGGGCACCCCGAGCCCGCCCCACCCAGTGGCACAACCCCCCTCGCTGGGGAGGGACCCCCAGGGGGCCTGGGCGCCCAAGCCCCCCCGCCGCCCTCCGCCAGTCCAGCGGCTGGTCGCCGGCTTATGTTTTTTTTACCCAGCCGATACGAGAGGCACCGACCACCCGCAAGCTCCGCTGGCGAGGGTTCCCGGGCGAGGAAGAGGAGGAGGAGGAAGAGGAGGAGGGACACATCACAGCCGAGCGCATCGGGACTTGTCAGAGAAAGGAGGGGGAGGAGGAGCAGGAGGAGGAGGAGGAGGAGGAGGAGGAGGAGGAGCAGGAGCAGGAGGAGGAGCAGGAACAGGAGCAGGAGCAGGAGCAGGAGCAGGAGCAGGAGCAGGAGGCGTGGCCGCGATCGACGACCCCTTCAGCCATCAGGAAGCAGGAGCCAGGAGGAAGAGGAGGAGGTGAAGGAGGAAGAGGAAGAGGAAGAGGAGGAGGAAGAGGAGGAGGAGGAGGAAGAGGAAGAGGAGGAGCCAGGAGCCAGGAGCCAGGAGGAAGAGGAGGAGGTGGAGGAGGAAGAGGAAGAGTCGGAGGAGGGACCAGAGTTAGACCAAGATTCACCTACGGTGCTGCAATACATCCTCCCGTCCCAGGTCCCCACTTCATAAGCACCTACAAGCATTATCCGTCACTCCGCGAAGACAGCCCTTGAAAAACAGCAGTCCCGCGGGCCCACAGTTCAGTGCCGCAAGGTGGGGCCATGAAACTCAACTGGGTGTCCAGCGGCAGCCGCGCTCTGAAAAGCTGCCGCCCTGCATCCGCGGTACTTGAGTAGTGCCGAGGGTCAGCGAGCGCCTTCCTCTGCAAGACCACCAAGAAAAAGACGTCAAGGTGGTCGAACGCCTGGCCAGGTAAGCCGACGAAGATGTGCCAAATCCAGCCATTCGCTTTTGTCAAGAGTTTTGGCATGGCGCCTGGTGTGGTGCATCAATTTCAGCTTGACCGAACAGGTTGGTTGCGCCCTTTGACGTTCGATTGGGGTGCTTACATGTGATGCGCTTGGAGGAAGTATCCGACGATAGCCCCATGCGGAAGAGAAACAACCCTCCGTCAAATTGTTGGGTACGGTTATACCTCTGGCAAAAAAATGTATGAGGTCGCAGCCGAGGTCCCAATGCTGAAAATGAAGTGCCTTTCGTAGGTGCAGCTGCTGGAAAATCTGAAGGCGAGCGCGCGCGGCGCTGGAGCGAGAGCCCCATTTTGAAGACGAGTCGCCATCCATCCGCGCAACTACCGAACATTTCGAGCTTCAACATCGTGAGCATAGATAGGGGAACAAAAAGTGACATAAACATGAAAACTCGGAGGTCCGCGCGGATTTCTCGGATCGGCGCTGGACCCCCCTCCCTGGCGCGCGGGGCGCGCCAGGGGCGGCGCCAGAGGCGCCACGAGGGGGCCCCAGCGCCGATCCGAGAGATCCGCGCGGACCTCCGAGTTTTTATGTTTATGTCACTTTTTGTTCCCCTAGTCGTCGTCGTCGTCGTCGTCGTCGTCGTCGTCCTGCCACCTCTTGTTCCCCTGATAGAGGAAGTCTTGGGCGAAGCGCCCGGCCCGCCCGAACGACACGCCCGGTGGTGCGACGGCACGGAGCCATCCGGCTGCCCGCGGCCAGCCCCAGCACTGGGCCGCCCTCCCGCCCCGCCTCGCCGTCGCCGTCGTCCCCTCCCCGTCGTGCTCGTTCTGCTCGAGCTCGGCGTCCTCGTCCCTGTGCTCGTTTTTGTATCCGGACAGTCCTCCGTGTCCTGCTCGCTTTCCCCGCGTCTTCCACGCTGTCCTCTTCCTGATTCGCCTCATTGTCGTTATCATCTCTCTCTCTCTCTCTGTGTCTTCTTCCCTTCGTCCCACGAGCCGAGTGGACAAAAGCAGAGCTTCCCATTTTTGCCTGGGCAGGTCCGTCAGGCAGGAAGATGGGGAGGAGGGGAGAAGGGAGAAGGGCGGTGAAGGAGATGAGGAAACGAGGAGGATCAGGGCGAGGGATAGCAGGAGCAGGAGGAGGAGGAGGACGAGGGCATCGAGGGGAAGGTGGGATGG